AGTGAGCCAAGATTGTACCAATGTACTCTAGCCTAGGTGACCGAGTGAGACTCTGTCTCAAAAAAAAAAAAAAGAAAGACGAACTTGGTGCTGTAAGTCCAAGTCCTACTTAATGCCCTGAACTTGTCTTTACTAGTACCAACAGTTTGGGCCAAATAAACTTACATGCTCAAATACACAAAAAGACTTTTAAACACCAGGATTTGCAACACACAGGTATTACAGTACATATGCCATAAAAACGAATGATTAAAAGTGCCTCCCCTACTCAAAGTTCTTAATATACTTAATAGTCATAGTTCAAAGTTATTATGGCAGAAGCTGACACATAGAAGGCTCAAACTTTAGGTAGCACAGGATGTTGTTTAACAGTCTTGTTTTCATGTCTGGGGTATAGTCTGGTATAAGAAAGCCATATATATTTCTCCAACAGTTTCTGAATGTTAATATTTAATATTATATACTTGAACATATTTTTGCTTTCATTTACAGAAAACATACCATTAGCAATTGAATAAATCTTGGCCTATACCTTAAAGCCCTTTTAATAAATGTTTGTTGGTGCTTATTTAAAAGCAGGTAGCAGTGAAATTTCAATAGCTCCTAGAAATTAAATGATCAAAAAATAAACTCTGTTCTCTATTTATGGCAAACTTACAATGAATAAACATTTCTACAGTCAGAGATGAAGACAAGCAGGTTAAAAATGACATCTAGTAAACTTGTCCTCCTCTACCCTGGTGTGCAACATATTTCAGTCAACTTTCAGAAAGTGGCTGGACCAAGCACTTAAATGCCCTAAGGCTGACCTGGACTAACTTTTAGGCAAATCATCCATCAGATCCTATAAGTCCTGCAGCACACTTAATTCAGACAAATAAGACAATAATTCCAAAAACAACTTGTTTAACAATAAGGACTAAGAAAGTGTTTAATTTTGAGATGTACTATTCTCAAAGACCCAAGTTAGCTTCAACTAGATAAGACTTGAGCCCTTATGCTTGCTATAGTTCAAAAGTGCCAAAACATGAGATTAGGGTTGAATTTGCGCCATCAGGTTTCTGCTAGCTGTTTTCAACTCAAATTTTCCCCATTCTGCTCTTTCCTTCAACCTGGTTTAACCCTGTCCGTCACAGTCTTCACCATATTCTTACTACCAAACTTATTTTTGAGCACTACTTCAAAACAAAAAGCGCCAATGGAACAGAAGAAATGTACCAACTAGCAAGGCGAACAAAGGCAAAGACTCCAGTAGCAAAGAGATTTAATTAAGAACAAAGGGAAACAGTTCCTGAAAACTGTGAGGCAGAATCTTAGACATTGCCAAGACCCCAGGAATTTTAAAAACTTATTATATTAAGAAACAGGCTGGCGCAGTGGTTCACACCTGTAATCCCAACACTTTGGGAGGCCGCGGCGGGTGGATCACCTGAGGTCAGGAGTTCGAGACCAGCCCAGCCTGGCCAACATGGTGAAACCCCATCTCTACGAAGAATACAAAAAATTATCCGGGAGGTGAGTGCCTATAATCCCAGCTACTCTGGAGGCTGAAGCAGTAGAATCACTTGAACCCGGGAAGTGGAGGTTGCAGTGAGCCAAGATTAGGCCACTGCATTCCAGCCTGGGCAACAGAACAAGATTCCATCTCAAAAACAAAACAAAACAAAACAAAAAAACAGTCCTGCCTCTCTAAATTGAACCCACCGAGGCCTCTGTGTCTTCCTGAAAAGGACCACAGTGGGTAATCCCATTGATGGGTTGTATTCACTCTCCCAGCATTTAACAAGGTCCACCTCCCCCGGTCATACAGTGATTAAGTGTCTTGCTAAATGGAAAAGCTGCAAACATCAATCTTTTACATTCCAGCCTCTCCTTCCCCCAGAATAGGCAAATCTCAACTTACTCACCTTTTGAAGTGTGAGTTTTTCTTCCTATTTAAAGTTTAAGGAGTTTTGGTAGTCTGGAAGTGGTGATTAGGAGCCCCCAGGAGTCAAACCTGTTTGAATGCTACCTTGGCCACTCAATAGTTTGGTCACCTTAGCAGGTCTTGGCCTTTCTCTGTGCCTCTTTCCTAACCTAATGCCTGATCTAACTATTATCTCTGGTTTTCCCAACCTGGAAACCAGGGATAATAGTATTTTCCGTGAGGTTACTGTAAAATTATGCATGTGAAGCAATTATGTTTGGACCCAGGGAAGTGCCCAGTAACTTATCTATTATTATCTTAGTGCCAAATTCTTCCTGCATACTGAAAAGATAACCCAGGTTCAAGGAACAGTTAAGGAGGAAATACTGACACAAAACCCCCTTTTAATGTCTTCAGTCAGGACAGAGGAAATTCCCAGAAAAAAAAATGTACTTGTTGTGTTCCTTTTTTTCACGCAGCTTTGTTAAACATGATTAATCCTCAATAAAAACAAATCTTAAGAAAAATGATGCATTTGGCTTTCAACTTTTCCTGGTAATCCTAAAGACAGAGTCGGTTTTCCCCCTAACGTTGCTTATAACAACCCAGGGCAAGAAAGAAAGATTTCAAAATGGCCCAAGTTATTTTTAATGCGGAAAAGACTGATGTGAGTTATGCATTTATCCTCCTACATGCTGCTTCCACAACCTCTCAAGAGATTTTTCACATATCTAAGTCAAGTTGGTCTTTGCTTAACATTCATTCAGGAGATGAGAGGCCTGTCCTATTTTTCTTTTGTTTGACTTAAACATAATCTCATCGGTCTATTTCAATATCAGCTTCATCCCTCATCCAGGAAAGTACTTTATCTCTCCAAGACACCCTTGAAAAGAGTAATGGATGTTCCTTCCACCTAATGGAGATACTGAATCTAAGGCTCTCCTTACTGCCCTGTTTATCAACACATCCTCTGCACAGAAGGTGAAAAACTACATCCTACTACCACTTCACACCTGGAGAGTTTTTTTGACAAAAGATCAAGAAAATGTTTGACTCTGTTCAAATCTTTATGGATGACAACAATCTAATATGAATCATAAACGAAATCAATTCTAAATTTTCTTGTTCTTTTTCTGTTTTCAAATATGCAAATCGATATCTGATTACAAAGGTAGAAAAGCAGTTATTTTTATCAAACGTAATTGAAAAATACACACTTAATGCAGTACATATGTTTTATGCATTTTTGTATATGGAATGTTATATTACACAGCAAAGAAAGAAAAATTTAATAGAGGGTTGTAGACAATTCGGGAAATTAGAAAAACCAAAGTTCATTTTTATCATATATCCTTCGGTCAAACAAGCATTCCTATAGATAACTCTTGAACAGCAGCTATTAAATAAATCGTAAAGTACAATTTACTTCTTCCCTAGTTGGAACCAGAAGAATATAATCCCAATCAAGATTGGGGAAAAGTTCAAGACAACTTTAAAGGGGAAAAAAAAGGCACAATTAATACATTGTCTATAACTTAAAACTTGACAATAGATCTTTGGAATTAACCTAAGACTTTACATTTAACAGCATAAACGAATTTACCGTACATCAAGTACACGTTTCCTTGAATTCCAATTTTTTTCCTAAAATTCATTTACAAAAGAAATTAGAAATATAAATATCTACTTTTAAAGTTTCTACAAGGATGAGCTGAAACTTCTTTTCACTTTTATAACAATTTACAGAAATTAGCATGTGTTTTGAAACGCAAGCGTTCCACTCTCTGCCCCTGCAGAAGAGGGTGGACATGTTAAGAAACTGAGGCAAATTCTCAACTGAAAAGGAAAAATATATAAAGTACTCAGGGGAGAAATAACAGCTGAAAGCAAAAAATTATTAACAAACTAAAAGCAATAGAAATTCTAATCTACACTCGCAACTCTTACCCTTGACAGCACAGAAGAGAATCTCCTGTCTTACACATTTTGGAATTGCAATTCTGAAACGCTAAATCCAAAGACAAAGCCGCTCTGGGGAAAATAACAATTGCGCAACAGATCAACAGCTCCAACTTGTCCCTTGGCCCTGGCGCGGCGAGGTTTGCACGCTATAAAGCAGGAAAGGGCCAACCGAGGGCTGCTGTGACGGCCAACAGACCGCTGTCACAGAGGCCAAAGCCACGCGCGCGGTGCGCGCCACCAGGGGGCACCGCGTCCGAACTAGACGCCCCGGGTGCCGCCGACTCCGGCCTCAGAGTCCGCTGCCCTCGCCCGCACTTTCCCGCGGCGTTGCGAGAGGCCAACTCCGGGTGCCCGGGCCCGAACCCCTCCCCGGCCGAGAAAGTGCGCGGGGCCCGGCTCAGCCGCCACACGTCGGGGCTTCTGGGCCCGCTCGGCACTTCAGGCGCTCCTCCCTCGTCCCGGGGTTGAGCTTTCAAGAAAGCTCAAGGCTGCCAGAGAATGATCCGACAGATGGATGACTTCGCAAAGCAGCGCCCACAGACGGCCCAGCGGGGTGAGCGCGCCGCAGCCCGCACACACGGAGGTCTTGGGGCGCGGCGAAGGGGCTCTGGGTCCCAGCCCGAAGGCGACCTCAGTTCCCCCGAGAGTGGCCCCGTGACTAGGCACATTTTTGCCGGCTCTGAGGCGGGGGAGCCGCGCAGCCCCGGAAGGGCCGGGCCGCGCCGGCTCAGACGGCCAGCGTCCGCCCCCTCTTGCCCCGCCGCCCGCCGGGCCGTTCAAACTTAGGGGCTCCGAAGCCCAGCTCTGGGGACCGGGGACGCGGCTGGATTCGCCCACCACTGCCCACGCCCGCGGGCTCAGTCCCCAGACCTTCCCGCAACTTCCCACCCGTTCGCCCTCGGGCTCGTGGTCGGTCGGACCACCCGGCCGCGTCCCCGCTGCCCCTCCCCACCCTGCCCCAGCGCAAGCGCGGCGGCTCCAGCCAGCGCGGCGGCTCCAGCCAGCGCTGCGGTCCTGGCTCTGGCCGGACGTGGAGGAAGCCGGCTGCGGCTATCCCTCCCTGGCCGCGGTTCCCTAGCTCCCCCGCCCCCGTCCCGGCACCACCGCAGGGCCCAGAGGGCCGAGGCAGCACCTGCTGGGACGGGAGTCCCGGCGGCGGCAGCTCCAACTCCATCATGCTGAGCTGGGGACCGTGTGTTGGGGCTCCCCGACGGCGGCCCCGTTCCGGCTGCCAAGGCGCGGCGCGGACAGGGCGGCTCTGGTGGCGGCGGCGGCGTCGGTGGCTCCTCCGGGCTCCCCGGCACTCGCTGATCGGCGACACGCCGGCGGGCCCCTGTCCCGCTCCGCCTCCCGCCCCAGAAGGGCGGGGCAAGAGCCTGGGCCCTTCCTTCCCCCGCCGGCCGCGCAGGCTGAGCTTCCGAAAATCCCCCACCCGCGCCTGGGCTGACGCAAGAAGCTCGCGGTCCGGGGGCGGGAAGGGACTGCCAGCTGGGGTCCCAGCAGGCGGGGGATCGAGAGGAGGCCACAGTTAGCGCCCCGGTGCCGGCGTTCAGTTGCCCTCCCCCGCAAATAAGGGCAGCGCTCTCGCCCGCGAGATAAAGAGTTATTTGCGAAGGTCGCTGGAGTTCGGACGCTTTGAAACAGTTTAAACAGTTGGAACAAACACACCCGGAGCCCCGGAAAGGCGTTGGTGTAGGAGCTGCGCCTCCCTGATTTGGAGTTACAGAACCTTGCCCTGCTTTTATCTCACTTTACCGCCCGAGAGTGGCGCCAGCCGGGGTGGGGGGCTAAAGGTTTGGACCCAGGCCGTGCCACTGCCAACTGCCCTCCCGCCCTTGCTCCCCTCCCGGGCTGGGGCCAGTGGGCCCTGCCCAGGGGAGATGTGGACAGCGCCGGGAGCTCGTGTTCGCAGTCACCCTGAACGCTCTCCTCTGAACTCCCACGTGTCTCCGTCAAGGGCAAACGGAGAAGTCCCTTTAGGTCGGAGAGTGGTCAGTATTGCCTACCCAGAGCTGGGAGAAAAACGGGAACCGCAAGAGAACCTCTTCCCACGAAAGCACAGCCACCACGCCACAGATGGCGCCCTTCAACAGTGTGTAATACCACAACATGCTATGATCTTTTAATCTTTACAAATTTCTTTTTCACGTACTCACAAAATAGTACAAATTTTAAAAAGTTACAAAAACGTTTGTATAGTATTGGCTCATTTTATAAAAACACGTGCCCAGAAAAAAATTGAAGGATAGTTACCAATATATTAAATGCTGTGGAATCAATGATTTTTATCTTTTTCCTTGCTACTTCCAAGTATGCTTTAAATCTGCAATGCGTATGTGTTATGTCTTACATTAAAAACAATTATTTAAACATTAATTATTGCCCAGAGAAAACTTCAAGTATTTGAAACCAGGAATATTGTGAACTCTTATACGGGTTCAAAGAGGATAGATAAATGGTTTGGTTTTGTTTTTTTCTCTCCTCTTACGCATTTACAGTCTTTCTAACTCTTTAACAAGACTGGTTTTCAGTTTCTACCTTCCTGGAATTATTCAGAACCAGGTGAAGTAGATAATACTGGCAGTGGTTTTACTATTTCATTCAAAAACCACACACACACACACACACCCCTGACTATAGCGATCAACGCCCAAAAAACTGCAGAGCTTACTTTCTCTCTGTTGCATAATTTGACACTCCCAGGATTTATGTGTAAATTTGTATATTCAGATATTCCTTGAGATAAGTGAAGCCTACATTAATTACTTGTAATTGAAGCAAGCTTCTTCAATTCCTATTAATTCCTTTCAGCTGTTATGTGAAAACCCTGCAACATTATCTGCACAATGAAAACAAGTTAGGAGAAATTGTTTGCAAAGGACCTCACATGAAAGATGCAGAGACATAATAATAAAATAACATTTCTGAGTCCAAGAGAAAGACAAGAGTAAATTGTTAACAATTCAAGTTACTTATTAAAATTACGACATCAGAGAAGGTAGACAATGAACCTAGCAGGTAGGAGATACCAGAGTCATATGACATGGTTACTGCTCTAAAGGAGTTTATAATTTGGTGTTTCCTTGTTAAGCCACAAAATTTCCATTGAGTTTAGACTGAATGAAATAACCTTCACTTTTCCAATGCTGCAATTTGCTGAGAGTATGTTATTTCAGGCACCTGCAGAGTACATATTTTCAAAGGGAGGAGAGCAATATGATAAGAGTTTGAACATGTTTAAGAAAAACAAACAGTAAGGAAAAGCTGTTTGGCATTTGGTTTTGTCAAATAAAGGGAACCCCATTCTCAAGACCACCCATGTCACGGAGGTGCCCAGTCTTGGCAGACTCTGGAATGTGATTGTCTTCATATGAAAGCCTGAGCCCTTGCTTTGCCCTCCAAACCTGCCTATTGTGTTAGGAAGGCACAGATACTGCATATTGAGAAGCTCCGGAGGAGCAAGAAAGAGCGAGAAAGAGGAGGTGCTGGTTTTTCTCAGCTGTCTTGCTGCCATGGGATCCTTTTTTGCTGCCAGGCTCTCCTAGCTACTATCTGGAAAAAATACCCTTCAATTGGTTTTGTGTTCTATTGACTCTTGTACCTTTTCATTGATGTCTGAATTATTTGCTGTATTTGGGAAGACAGTCCTCCCTACATGCTTCAGATGTGTCCATTGTAATACCTTACTCCAGATTTCTCATAAAAAATTAGTATCCTCGGCTGGGCGCGCTGGCTTATGCCTATAATCCCAGCACTTTGGGAGGCCGAGGCTGCGGATCACGAGGTCAAGAGATCAAGACCATCCTGGCCAACATGGTGAAACCCTGTCTCTACTAAAAATACAAAAATTAACTGGGTATGGTGGCGCGCACCTGTAATCCCAGCTACTCAAAGAGAGGCTGAGGCAGGAGAATTGCTTGAACCCAGGAGACAGAGGTTGCAGTGAGCCGAGATCACACCACTGCACTCCAGCCTGGTGACAGAGCGAGACTCCATCTAAAAAAAAAAGGTATCAAGAAGTCTGGATAATGGTGATGCATCAACCCATTAATTTCACCTTCTTTGTGCTCTAATCTGCCAAGTTGCAAGGCACAAGAAAGTACCGATTGTTTCAAAATCTTCCATCACTTTGAGGCTTCTTCCTCTTTCTGTCACTTCCTCTCAATTGTTCTCCATGTTTAAGCCAGAAAATATTCAGGATCTTTTAGAATTGTAGTTGAAATTCTACTCTGTCCAGCACAAAGTATAGAAAGCTTCTAAAAATGGCACCCAGTAAACCACCCCTCCTGATATTGAGGCATTTGTCTAGTCCCCTCATATTGAACTAAGCATGGCTGGCCCTGCAACTTGCTTTAAGTTATGGAAAGAGGCCAGAAGTGACATTATGCCAGGTTTTAACCTAAGCTTGAAAAACGCCTGCCCGCTTTTAATTTTATATTCTTGGAAGTCAGCCATTATGCTTAGAGGTCTGACTACCTTGATGGAAAGAGAGGCCATGGGAAAAGTCATGGAAGATGAAACTCTAAATGGAGAGAGAGAGACTATGTGAACCAACACACCAGACATATGAATGAAGAAACCATCTTGGACCTTCGAGTCCACCTAGTCAAGCCCCCAGAGAACTCCAGCCCCAGCTGCTGTATGACTGCAGTCACATACAAGAGACTGTAAGCAAGACCAGCAGAAGACTGCCTGGCTAAGCCGAGTCAACACAAAGAACTGTGAGAAATTATAATACATTGCTTTCAGCCATTAAATTTGGGGGTGGTTTGTTTCATAGCAATTGATAACAAAAACAGCATACTATATGGTGACTATCAAAGGCCGGGTTTCCCCCGGCTGCTTTTTATTAATCAACATTGGGAGCACATACAGGGAGTTGGTATTTGGTGATTTAATAAAGACTCAGACTCTCAGAAGAAAATTGACTTCCCTGGGAATGAGGAAGCTGTCTTTCCCATAACATATGTTTGTTGCTACATACAAGGTAAAAAACTTCATCACACCATGCATCAGTTTCATTTTATTAGGTAGATGGTGGACAGATATTCTTATCAAAATACACTTCAGGAACACAGATATTTCATCAATGAAGTAGATGGAGGGATAAACGCATAGAGGTTCTGACCTTGATATGACCTCGTTTGTACCAGTTATGTAAGATACTCACTGAATATCTGCTTAGGGAGTTTGAACTTGAGAAGCAACCTGCCCAGTGGATAAACTAAACTCCAGTATAGGCCAGGCGCGGTGGCTCACACCTGTAATCCCAGGGAGGCCAAGGTGGGCGGATTACCTGAGGTCGGGAGTTGGAGATCAGCCTGACCAACATGGAGAAACCCCGTCTCTATTAAAAATACAAAATTAGCTTGACGTGGTGGCGCATGCCTGTAATCCTAGCTACTCGGGAGGCTGAGGCAGGAGAATTGCTTGAACCCGGGAGGCAGAGGTTGTGGTGAGCCAAGATTGCGCCATTGCACTCCAGCGTGGGCAACGAGAGTGAAACTCCATCTCAAAAATAAATAAATAATAACCTCCAGTATAGCAGTGTTCAAAATAATTGGTGTATTAGTTTCAAAACATACCCATATCCTTGGTTCCCTGGAGTGTACACCTGACTGTGCAAATTACTGGTACAATGAACTGTACATCTCCAAAGCCAGTTTTAACTCGTGTAGTTTCCTGCTCATAAGAGAAAAAGTATCTTGCAGCAACAGCAGTTCAGTGAGTAAACAGAAGAAAGTTTGAAAGAGTCCTTTGAATTTTATGTGTTGATACCTATATAAATATATATGCACAGGAAAAAAAGACAGAATGCACATACTCCAAAATGTTAACCATAATTATTCTGACTAGATGGAGACTGATGACTTGTTTTCTCATTTTTCCGTGTTTGCATTGTTCTAAAGAAATAAACATGCATTACTTGTTTTTTTTTTTTTTTTTTTTTTTTTGGAGACAGGGTCTTGCTCTGTTACCCAGGCTGGAATGCAGCCGTGCATTCGTGGCTCATTGCAGCCTAGGCCTTCTGGGATCAAGTAATCTTCCCACCTCGGCCTCCTGAGTAGCTGGGACGACAAGCATGCACCACCATGCCCAGTTAATTGTAAAATTTTTTGTAGAGGGGGCAGTCTCACTATGTTGACAAGGCTGGTCTCAAACTCCTGGCCTCAAGCAGTCCTCCTGCCTCAGCCTCCCCAAATGCTGGGATTACAGGCGTGAGTTATTGTGATTGGCCAAAATACATTACTTTTATAAGAAGAAGAAAAACGGTGGGAGTAGGGTGTGGGAGTAAGGAAAGAACGCTTGCTTTTCTCCTATGCCACTGAATCTGTTTCATTTCCAAATTGAATTTTAACCACAAGCTTTGCAAATCTTTCCATTTTGTATTTATTTGAGTGGAGCCTGGAGAATTTTACCACATCTTTAAGTGTAGTTGTTGTAAGGTTCTAAATATCCTTTCTCTTTCAGTTTACTGCTATATTTGCAAAGTTTAACTCAGCAGAACATGAGTTATCAAAGACAAAATATTATGAATAGAGATTAAGAACTGCAGCCTCTCAATAATATGCAAAGTGGCCCAAACATAACATTGCTTTGTGGGGAAAATAAAATACAGAAAAACATTATGCCTAGAGCTATGTCTTCAAGGCCAGTTCTCAAATATTAATAATAGGAGTAGAATATCAGATAATTTTCATTTCCATCTTTGTATTTTTCTGTATTATTCAAATCTTTACAGAAAGCATTTTTAGAATTAAGGGATAAAAACAATTAAACCATTTCCACTTTGAAGAAACAAAAAATAGACTACAATGAATGGAAGAGCAGAGCATCCTCATAAACAGACCTTACAGACAATCTATAACATTCTTGGAGGCTGGAAAATAAAAAAGGGAAATGAGGTTTGCCAACATAATTGTCTTCTGATACTTTCTATTCCAGGGACTGTCATGCCCTTTGAGTAATATGAGAATTTAAAAAAACCTTAGAAATCTTCTGGCCTGGAGATGGGAAGTAAATTTCACTTTGATTGCCAATTCTGATGCATTGGTAGTGACTGCCTACAATGCTTTGGTGAAAAGTATTCAGAAACAGCTTCCCAATTTGGTAGAAAAAGTTCAATGATTGATTAACAATGTCTGCCAAGGGCGCAGAATTATGAGAGTGGTGGCGCATATCAGGTATGT